AATAGCATAGCTAGCTTTACACACAATTGACGAGCAATGATTAATTTTGGACTCTGTGGAATCCCAAAAGCTGACTTGTGCAAATAGATTCTACATTGAGATTATGTACACACTGCGAAGCTCTCTTAGTACTGCCAAACACTCGGACAAAAACACACAAACTTCGACTCTGCGGAATTTATGAGCCCAATTCCATGTTAAAGAGGATTTTTTTTTATTGTCTGAGACGTGGAATAAATTTAAGAAATTCGTTGAATAAGTAAACGCCATATGCTTTTGAAATGCCATCTTATTTATATATTTCAGAAATTTAATTAAAGCAGGACACAACACATTTGCCCCAATAGAATCTTTTCTCTCAGTGCAAAGTAAACACACTTGATATGAATTGAAGCCGATTTGGCAACTTCTGCACTCCCTCTCTTGATAATATTGTGGCAAATAACAGCTAAAATCACTCCCTTAGGAGGTATTTAATCATAAATGTCATACTCTGTATGAATTGAGATACACACACAGCAAATTACACAAGATTTTCCCAGATTTTCCATTCCTCGAGCATTGCTTTTTCAGCGGAATTGTTGCTCCGCAAGGCGAAGTATATATAGTGAATGTGCGGAAGAAAGTGTGCTCCAAGGCGCGCTTTTTGGCTGCTTTATCGCTCGAGTGCAATTAAATTCGCTTGAGAGGAAATTTTGCCGTATTCCATGTGTGTGTGTGTGTGTGTATTCTAGTTGACGATAAAATGCTCTTTGATATTATTCTCCAGTTTTAATTGGTTTTAATTACCGACGCACATAACATTTGCCAAGACTGTGCATTTTGAATCTAAATTTGCTAAATTATATGATTCGTGTTGTGATTTTGGCGGCAAAACACTTTTAATTAACTAAGCTCTAAATTAGGAGAAATTCCCCAAAATGTGTGCCAACGAAGTTTTGCTCATTCAATTTGCAATTTATATTGACAAATATCATTCAGGTCATTTCTTTCAGCTTAGATTTTCCCCCCCAAAAACTGCGCCATTCTTTTGTGCACAAGTTGCGTCATGGCGCAAAAAAAGGCACATTTGACACTTTGGCTGAATCTCTGAGCAAAAAGCTCTGCTGCATTTCAATAGCTTCAATGCTCTTCAGCACTGCTGCAGCAGCCGGAATTCATTTGGCATCTCATCTAAAAGTGATTTTTCAAAATGTGTCATTAATATGAAAACGTGTCTAATTGGACTGGAGCTTTCAGCGCCGTGCGCTCTATTGTTCGCGGGGTGTGTTTACGTGAACAAATTGATACGACATCAAATGGCAATGTTTTCCAATTGTTCCACATTGCGTACGTGCAAAATATTGTGGAGGTCGGAAAACAATGGCAAATGCGGAGCTTATATTACACACCTATGTTGTTCCGGTGATGCAAAAGCTCTCTCTCTCGCCCACAGAATGCTTTTTGCCTGGAATGTTTCAAGCGACAGAGGAAGTTTTATCTCACTGTTCATCCAACCATTTCTCTGGCACAGCAGAGGCACATTATATGTACATATATAGGCGAAGTGAGCAGAGCTGAAAATGAGTGTGCAGAATGAGAGGAAAGAACATGCGGATTGTTTTCTCCTATTCCGTTGATCTGTGCACAGAAAAAAAGGAAAACCGGCACTTTCAAAAGGAATCCTGGGGCTGAGAAAGAGAAGGAGGAAAAGTATCTCATGGAATTTCGCTAAGATGCGAAAGTTTGCATTGCCCGTGCTGAGAATTTTTCGCGTGAAAAATCTCCAAGTGGAAATTATTTAATTAAATTACAAGAACATTATTTTTTTTCTTTCTCTCTGCCAACTCCTCAAGGGACTTATTAAACTCTTTTCACCCCCCCCCAGGTTTTACCATCTCAACTTTTTCCCCCCTTTTCGGACACAGAAAAAAGGGAAAAAAGGTATAAAAAGAGCATGATAATATTTGCTCTTGTTGTAAAACATTTTTCTTTGAGTGGAAAATTATTTGAAAAGCTTCAAAAGTAAATTTCTTCATATAAACTTTGTATTCCGGCATTTTGTGAGTGAATCAAAAATAAATTAAACATTTTTTGCACTAAATATAAAGGATTAATTAAATTTATCAAGCTTGAAAAGAATATTTATCAAATCAAGAGATGATTTTTATTTTTTAAATTCATTTCTGTCATGCAATATTAAAGAATTTAATTATATTCGAGACAACATTATATATATTTTTAATGAAATAATCTCTTTGTTGTCCTCTTGTGTTATTAAATTGTCCAAATTTCTGCATATATGATAAATATGTGACGAATAAATTTCCCTGGAAGCTTTTGTCGCAAAGAAAGAATCTCGCCAAATTGAAAAATGCTCAATTTGAGCAATTTGCACATTTGATATCGTCAGTTAAAATCCTCCACTGAGAGCTTCTTTGTGGAAAATACCCGACAATTCCTCTACTTTTCGCTTAATTATTTCCTCCCGCGACATTTAAGAGGATTGTATAAATGATATCTCCTGAGACCTAATTAGTCCTCTCCGGTGCCTTGTGGCTTTGTGTGCCGAGAGGTATAAAAATAGATTGAGCGATATTAATTCGAGGGTGAACTCCGTCGTCTTCCCGAGTGGAGCGGGCGGTGTATAAACCCTAAGTGGAGCTTTCATAGTGGCACAGCCGAAAAATAGGCACACACACAAGCCACAGTAATGGACATAACTCGGATATTTATGGACTGTTGTCGGAGAGCTTTCGCCATGAGATTCCCGGGCTGAGAGGAGAACAACTAAAGAGACCAGAAGCTGAGCCAATGCGTGAAAATTGGGCAACATTTTGGTCAGTATTTTATTTACAAAATATCAGTAGATTTAACCCTTAATTTATAGTCTGAAGCGAAGCAAAAAATTATTGGAAAAACGAAAAATTTGAACAGAATTGTTGGCAAATGGAAATTATTTGTGTTTTGTGACTGTTTATTCTGTGGAAATTTATTAAGCGCAAAAACCACCAAATTTGATTTACAAGAATTTTTAACTAAAACCCAAACACTCAAAGTTTTTTTTTTTATAATTTTTGGATAAAAATGCTAGAAGTGATAGAGAAAATTGTGTATTTCTTAAACTCTTTCTTCGTGCTTTGAAGACGTAATTATAAGTAATTACAAAGGGAATGATTTCATCTTGACGAATGTTCTGTATTGGAAATCAAAGAGCATTTCTCCATTTTCAGCTCCACGGCGTATTTACTTGTGCGCCCCTTTTCCGGGTGTCGTTTTTTGCAAGCTCGCGCCCGAGTTTCTGACTGTCTTTCAAACCATCTGAATGCCCTATCATAAACAACAAATACACATTCTCACTAATTCCAACCCAGAGAGCTTTTATATTCATGTTTGCTCCTTGTGTGTGCTCTCCATTGTGCCGTGTGGCTCCACTCTGGGGCACATGTTTGGCCGTTGTTCGCACAGAGCAAAGTTTGCCAACAGTTTCGGGGGATTAAAAATGAAATTGTGACGAATGTGGGGGAGGGGGGCAGAGGAAAGGTGAAGGGTTGAGCAGCATCCTGCCAGACATTCAGGGTGGAAAATTACATTTCTCGGTGTCAAAAGTTGAGCTGCGCGAGAGATGAGTCCCGCGTGGTGTGGGTATAAAAATGAGAAACATCTCATTAACCCAGTACTTGACTTCATGACATGATACTCGCACTGTGTTTTCCACATAATGGCAATACATTTGCCCTCGCGCGCGAGCGGAAAAAGTTGAGGAGTTGCGCGAGGAAATGAAGTATTTTGCATTATGTCGGAAATAGAAGCTTTTTCACACCTCACGAACTTTCACCATACTTCATTTTACAAGCATTTTATTGTGCAAATTCTGTGGATTGTGATAAATAATGCATAACTCCACCCCGCACTTCTCCCTCTCACCCATCTCCCCTTTCACGAAGAGAACAGAGCTTTTTGTGCCGGATTAATTTCCCAGGAAAAATCTACGACATGGAATATAGTTAACTTTTGCAGCGCACTGCGTCTTATTAAAATATTAAACTTGATGACTTGGAGTAACTTTTCTTGCGTATTTGCATTTGAAAAAAAAATGTCCCCTAGATGTTGCGATGCAGGGTGGAAAAGTGAGCCAAAGGGATCATTTTATGCTTTTGCTCGTCACTTTGTGGAAATTCTCACTCGCACAACAATCGCAAGTAACTACCAATAAAGGACATGAAAACAGATGAACTTGTGATTAGACACGAGCTTAGAAAAGCACAGTTTCTCAATAGATTGAAGATAGGAATAATAGAGCAATTGTGGCCTGGCCCTTTGCTAATTAGTTTCCTTTATGCATGCCATTAATTCTCCAGCACAGAGATATATTGTGAAGTAATATCAGTTACAAAGCTTTGAGTATAATAAAGCATTTTAGAGCAAATGTGTCATATTTATCTCACAAAACGAGTATTGATTGAAGTGCTTTGATGAAACGTTGTCTATTTTGAAGAAGATAAAGCAGTCAATATTCCAAATGTATCGGGATTTGTAAAAAATTCAACCCTTAGCTTGAGAGATGGAAGAATTCAGGAAAGCATGAAAAGAGCTTCCAAGAAATCCTTTATCACGCTCAAGCTGCCTCAGAGAGAGTTTTTGTATTGAGCTTTTTTTCTCGTCTGTGTGCAGAAGCGAAAGCTTCAGAGGATATTTTGTTTTATGATTTGCCCACGTTCTTTCAGTTTTTGCCCTTCGGGCTGTATTTCGCTGGAATTAGCTGTTTGACTTCAATGTTGACACTTTAGTGCTTCTGTGAACTTGCACGACTTTCGCGACGTCAATAGTTTGTTTTTTCAATTAAATTGTATACATATAGCACTACAAAGTCAAGTGATCAAAATGTCACAGCAATATAATTAGGCATTTCTTGGCTTTATACTTTCTTTTACAGGTGTTTTGTGTGCTTCATTGGATGAGTTCCTTTCTTCGCAATACTGTTTAAACCATGAGAAGATAATTAAAATTCGTAAGCTCACCGAGAGAAGATTCTTTCCGGGAAATTAATTGAGTATCACCACCTCACAGGTCTGCCTTCAGCCCACGGAAAAGTGAACCTGCGGAAGAGAGAACATTTTTATGTGCGGGGATTTAGTATGAAATTATACGAAAACATTGCGGGGAGCACAGAAGAAAGCTCTCCTCGAGTGGGCGACAAGCGTCTAATCTTCTCCGCCTCGCGAGGCACTTCAGCACGTTTTGGGGCATTTTGCAAGAGGGAATCCTTCACATATGGAGGATGTTTAGATTTTGCGTCTTGTGTATTTGACTGAAACATCCTGGGAGAGAGTGATTCACTCCCTTTTCCCACTCACTTCACCACCCCCACAACCGACACATTTCACCTGGGACACGAAGAGGAAACCCGCCTCCCAGAGTTGGTGGACTTTATTAGTCGGCAAGATTTGAGATACAATTCGCATGACTGCCCCATCTGTGGAATGATGATTTTTCAATTAATCACGCAATCAAGTGGCCAGAGCGACATGAATTAATCAAAAAGCTAATTATGCCACCGGAATAATTAGTCATAACTTTGTGCGACACTTGATTTTGATACACGCAATTAAGATTGGATTGAGAGACTTTATCTCTGTCGACTGATCTCATCTCCCATCTATAGCCATGCCAGGGATCCAGTGCGGAAGCTGTTGCGGAATATGATTCAGATGTGTGCTCTGATATATTGTGCGCCAGCGAAAGGGGCGCCTTTTGCGGATGCGTGCGAAGGGGAGACAGACAAATGGGACACCGGAAGAGACATGAGGTGAAATCCAGGGGATCGTGGGCCAAACAGACTCTCCGGCATATGACAATGGATGGTGGCAAAACATAACTTTTAGGCGATGAGAAGTTATATTTTGCCCAAGGGCGAAATTGCCGAGGCCCGAACGTGCGATACAAGGAAGTGTTCGTGTGGATTGTGAAGATGAGACACAGGAAAATCTTCAATTTCCTCCATCTGCCTCTCTCTGTGTCATGCTCTGTTCCACTATACATATCCCCTTCAGAGCTTTGAAATCAAGGGGGAAATATTGAGAGTAGAAAAGCTCCAAAACTCAGCTGAAATCTATGCAAATAGAAGTGTTTCAATTAATTTCTAATGCTCTTTAATGGAAAACTCATATTTCCGACAACACTTTTCACTTCTCAATCTCGAAATGCATGGAAAATTCAAGATTCTGCCCACAAATTTCATCCCTTCCCCCCCTTTTGGCCACAAACAGAGAGAACAGAGAAGGGTTGACATATAAAAAAGATTAAATTTTTCCCTCCCCTTCGAGGTTTCTGGTCACATGAATTGATAATATTGGGCCACTTGTACGACTTTCTCCCTCTGGACTGGGTGAGAAATTTGCTGAATTATTCGCCTTGTCGACTGGGGCGGGTGGTGCTTTTATATATCAGCCTAACGCAATAAAGAAATAGAGCAAGTTTGGCGAGTTGTGGCCAGAACACACACACATAGTCGCAAGGAGGCGCAGCAGCCCCCACATGAAGGCCATTAGGTAAGTTGTGTGTGCGGTACTTTATTTATTCCTTCACATATCATTCACCTTGTGCGGGGCGCCATAAGGGTGAAAGGGCGCATAAAATGTCGGAATTCTTGAGGAACTCCGGAGGACGAGGCTGGCAAAAGAATTATCTTCATCTCCTTATTTATTTATACGGAATAACACTTTCGTTCGCACTTTCAGCATATTATGGCGTCACATTTTCCGGAGGGGCGCATGATATAAGAGCTCACCCAATGTGGAATGGAGACACGGAGTGGATTCGAAAAATTCCTTCTCCTCCTCACCCAAAACAAGACAAACAAGCCGAGGAAGAGAGAGAGAGAGAGTATTATAATTTTCCTGTGAATCTATTAACTCGACACTTGAGAAAAAGCTCCAGTTTTGCTTAATTGAATTAAATTGCTGGCGCATGTTGATTGCTGTGTAGAATCTTTCAATTCACTGCCATAACGCTTCTTGAGGGTGTTTCAAGGCTTTGGCGGGAAATTATTGAAAAGTTCTCGTACAGTATGAGCTCATCCTCTGTGTGAATTTTGCAAGAGATTAAACTTTAAACTATAAAGTTGACTCTTTGAACTTTTATGGGGTGACTCATTAATAAAAGATGAAGATGTTCTCGATAGCTTCTCTGCGTCTTCCTCAGCGCAAACACCGAATAATCATGCCCTCTATTGGCTGAGCTAAAGACCCTCTCTCTCTCTCTCAGGTGACAAAACCCTCGCGGTGGTATTTCATAACCCAGGAACATAAATTACGTGGATGGCAGTATAAGTGGGCGCACGGTGAGTGAATTGCGATGGAGCGCACAGCATCCTGGACAGCCTGAAGATAATGGTATATTGATTGAGTCATCATGTAAGGTCCGTCGACACTGGCTTCCCCCCATTATGCCATCGTCTTCGTCACCTCTTGCACGAGGCAGGAAAACAGACACCCTCTTCAATTCACCCCCTGGGAAAATGACTTTCAGCCATCCATTTTTCTCACCCTCGCATATCAGTCTTTTATTCACTTTCTATTTCAGTCTTCCGCAACACTACACAAAATCATCTTTTCACCCGGCGAAGCTGAAGCTTCGACGTTTTCTCTTGGAAGCTCAAATCCGTCAGATTGAAAAAAAAGACGTCGATTTTCCACCGAGACGAATCGATATGCGCGGGGAGAAAATGCAGATGATTTTAATCCCTCGTGGCAGTTTGTGAAGTGCATTGCGCCGCCAAAGCACTAATGGGGAGAGAGAGAGCTTTGAAACTTTTCCATATACCGCACCCAGAATTGCGAACGAAAGTCTCTGAAGGAGTTAAGCTACTTTTTAACCTCACAACTCATGCCATAGTTGGAAATGTTTAATATTTCAGAGAGTGTTGAGTTTCTCTAACCCGATGGCTTCTCAGTCATCTGTGACGTAATTCTGTCCAACTTTTGCCTTCGACACACATATAGATTTCAGACCATCTCTCGACAGTGAGAAGATAAGAGGATCTCCTGTCTCTCTCTCTCTCTCTCTTGACATGCTAAAAATGCAGGAAGTTGAGTAAAAGCACTAAAAGTCACCCTCGAGCGCCCGTGAGAGGAAATATGTGTGTGCGAAGAAGAGAAAAAGTCGAGTGTTGAAAATATAAGATGGGAAATAATGGGAAATTGTGTGTGCGATAATTTCAATAATAGAATTTTCTTCGGTGTTGCTGCAACAAATCACTCCCGGAGGTGAAAGAGCGGCTCCATCGGGAGCCAATTGTGCCATATACCTAATTTTGGCGAAGCGCTCTCGCACCTCCGATGGACATTTAAATTGCCCTCGTCTCACACTCCACACCCCCCCAATTGATTCACTCTCAAAGCACCCTCCTCAGTGTATTGGGTGGATAATTAGATGAGGGTGCGAGGGGAACAAGTGATCGGAAGCCCCAGAAACATGCAGCCAGGCAATCATTGGCATTACACATCCAGCAGCACATCATAAAGTGAACCACTCTCCCCAAAGAGCGGCTTTCCCTTCCACCAGGATCCTCTGCTATCGATCTCTACCCTTTCTTTCGCAGATAGATAAATTCTTTGGTCTAGAAATAATATTTACATTCAATTTCGCTCACTTTTGGACAAATTGTCATGAATTTTCATATGTTTTTTATACAAAAACCATTTGATTTTCTGTATTTTTACATGTTTTAATGTCAATATTAAGAGAAAAACTAAAACTCTTTATCTTTTTTGGAAAAAAAACTGATAAAATCTGCCTCATTCGCCCCTAACTAAGGCACAACGGGGCGAAAACCCCTCGATTTGCAGGAAAATCAAATTCTCGATACACTTTTTCTTATCATTGTCGCAATTATGTGAAAATATTAAAGTTATTACTTCCGTTTGATGATACACTCAACGGAGGGTGAAGTTCTGGGGTAAAATTGCCAACGAAAATTAGATTAATTCCCAATTTTCTCCAATTGCTGCCGGTGACACTGAGTGTAATGGGGTGAATGCAGAAACTCTCTGTCAAAGGAAATGTCCTGCCATGAAAAATGGTCTCGAGGATGGTAGAGGAAAAGCGATCGGTATCATTTTCCAAAAAAACGAAAATGACAATCGCAAATCAATGACAGTGACTGTACAGATTTTCCCTCTGTGTCGGGAGAAAAAAAAAGCTCACAATATGGAAAGAAGTGTCAGAAGAAAATTGACATAATTAATCAATGACCCAATTTTTATCCAACCCTTTTTCAACCCTTCCGGACTTTGTCTGCTAAAATGTCACTAGAGATGAATTACTAGAGACGTGAAAAGCTTAACAGTTTCAATTTTCCCCTTCACTCGAAAAAGTTAATTTTATCACCACCCCTCAAGGACACCGAGAGCTTTCAACTCAATGTGATTTCCCTTCACATCCGCGCGGAAAAGCTCATTTTGCATCGACAATCGAAAGAAAATAGCGCGCGCGATTGAAGACAAGGCATTGAGCATCCCCTCAATCATTTTCACGTTAATTATGGCACAAACAAACAGCCATAATTCATGTAATATTCAATTACACTGAGAATAGATGGGGAGCGAGCATTCAGTGCTTAACAGCACTGTCGAGAAGGTTCACCCAAAGCCATCTCCACCCCCGAGTAAGACAAAATTGCCTCGCTATTGAGCTGTGCCCCACAAAATATTAAGTGGAAACCACTTTTGGCATGCTTGAAATGGCGCAATAAACACACACACACACACACTCAATCGACAATTGATAGTCATTTGCTGCACAATAGCCTCGAAGCAAGTCTCGAAGAAAGTCTCGAAGTCAGAAGCAATCGAGGATGACGAGATGTGTCTTGTTGTATGATGGAAAAATTCATGCTGTCACTGTAAGTTTTCCACCGTCGACTCGTCATGTCTTTGTGCGGTGAAATGCTGTTATTCACCGTGGAAACCGGAAACGGACAACACTTGCACCGTGCAAGTTTTCCAACCCCTTCGCCAGCAGTCAAGAGGTCTTCAATGGGCGACAGACAGGGGGGAGGTGAATTTTCCATTACGAAACATGATCGATAGCATTGAAA